CTTCCAGGGACTTTCTACTTTGTAGTTACCTTGATGTTAAAAGACTCTGGTCACGAGAGATTTTTCAATCTTCCATCTTATATGCTTTTCATTATTGAGATAGGAAACCTTAAGTGGATACTCAATAATGGATAAGACCATGTCTTAGCATCAGTCTTGGCTTATGGGAGTTGACCTTACCGGTCAATATCACGGGCCTTTTCATTAAAATGACCAATGAATAATGTATCTAAGCTTAGTTTAAAGCTTTAAATATGTTTTTAGACAGAAGTATCCCAAGAATGCAAGTCAGGTATATTTCCTAGAGAAATACCAGTCGGAGCATTGCGTGCAGGGAAATTCTCCGTTCTCAGGTTTCCTGAGGTTGAAATGCAGCGCGCGCGTCATTAATCATTCATTGGGGTCGGTCCTTTAGTCCCCGGCAGCTCGGAGTAAACTGAAGCGCGCCTCCAGCTAATCCTTCCTGCCAAAGGGATCGTGCGGCGAGAGAAGACAACTGGGCAGTGGGTCACATGTGCTGGTGTCCAGAGCAAGGCTCTCTTGCCTGGGTCCGAGCGTGGCTGTGCCAGTGCGCTCACGCTCGCGAACACCTACCGAGAGCTTCCCAGAAAGAAAAACAAATTCGGCATCGTGTTCAGCGCGACCCCGAGTTTGCCCCAGGAAGGCAGCTCGATCCGTGGCCGAAAGGCTCCGGGTGGCGTTCTACACGCGGAATGCCCTCATTCCTTAGCTCTTAACAAATCAGGAACCACCACGAGGTTGCACACCAGAGCCTCCCCAAGTTGAATTGCGAATCCGTTTGGTTCCCTGCCGAAAGCACGTGAAGCCGGGGGATCTCCTGGCAGGACGCGGTTCCGGAAGAGTCCCCTGGGGAGGCAATGAGATAGCGGGTTCTGTTTGGCAAAGGAAAGAATCTGGAGATGGGATCCTGGGGAGGCAAGAGTGCGTTGCAGAGGCGCTAGTGTGGGGTAGCGGTGGGAGAGCCTGTTTCCACGTTCCACGTCCCACGTTCCCGTCGGGGCCCCGGAGGACTCCCCTGCTCCCGCGGAGCCCAAACCCGCGCGGCGTTAGCGGGAGTTGGGCAGGGGAGGGAGGGCGTGTGGCGCGTGAGAACTGCCGGGTGCATTGCCCCGGTGTGGGCGCACCCGGCGTCCGGGGTGCAGCTTTTCTCAGCCCAGCTTCTCCTCCCACTCACTCACTCCCGTCCCTCCCTCCTTCCCACCCCCGCCCCCGGGACCGCCGGGCTCCCTCCGCGCACCGGCCAGGACACAAAGCGGCGGGTGGGGGGAAGCTCCGCAGGCGTGCACCGAGCAGTGAGATCACTAGCGTTATAAATATCCCGGTGCCAGAGCCGAGATCCGCTCGGGTGGCCTCTCTCTCTCCCCCTCTCCCTCGCTCTTCCCCGAGGCTATGTCCACCCGGTGCGGCGAGGGGGGCAGCGCCAGAGGCACGCAGCCGCGCGGGGGCTACAGAGCCCAGAACCGGCCCTACAAGATGCACTTAGGACCCCCGCGGCTGGAAGAATGAGCTTGTCCTTCCTCCTCCTCTTCCTCAGCCACCTGATCCTCAGCGTCTGGGCTCACGGGGAGAAGCGTCTCGCCCCCAAAGGGGAACCCGGACCCGCTGCACCGGAGGGGAACCCGGGAGGCTCCAGCAGCAACCCGAGCAGCGGTAGCACCACGTCTTCCTCTTCTGCCTCCTCTTCCCCTGAGGCTTCTCCGGGCAGCCAAGGGAGCGGCTTGGAGCAGAGCAGTTTCCAGTGGAGCCCCTCGGGGCGCCGGACCGGCAGGCTCTACTGCAGAGGGGGCATCCGGTTTCATCTG